CCCCCCCCCCACAATCCACTGTCACTGGTGTTTGCATTCGTTTCCCATTTCCCCGACGCTTCCCTGAGCCTGACGCTCTTCACTTGTTACAAGCAACACAAAACACACAATTGACGGCTCCTCAATAGAAACGAAAGTTGAAGGCTTGATTGCGAATCTCGAAGAGGTGCTACGGATATGTGCGACACGCTGTATTTCGTATTCATCTCGTTCCTTTCAACCTTGTGTATTGGCCGACACACTTGATGCTCCCTTCTGAGTCGGGCGCTCAGGACCAGATTGTGCTAACCCTGGAGATGGCGATGCGAGGAAGTGCGTGGCCCTCCGACGGCCCTGCTCTCCTGCCAGTCAGCGTGGGCGCCGGAATGTGGTGGCTGGACGAATCGAAGGCGCCTTGCTTCGAAGGTGTGCTCGACTGAGCGGTCTTGAAAGATGCAAAGCGCACGCATGGTAGATAGATCAGCTTGGGACTTGGAAGGGCTCGCACAAGCACCAGTCGACGAGAGCGTCTCGGTGCAGAAACGCCGGGCATGCGGCTTCGCGATGCTCCAACGTTCTCGATGGTCAGACACAGACACAGAGACAGCTCACACGCCGACCGACGACCAGCATCTTCTCACGATAGCCAAGCTCACACTTCGATGGAGACGGCCTTATGAGTTTGGGGAAGCATTGGTTCGCGGATTCGTACAAGCATGAGCGTGTGGGTGATGGTGAGGGATGAAGTAAGAAGAAGGGGTGGCGATTTGGGGAACGCAAGGAACAAGAAAAAGGGCGGGGGAAAGAGGGAAAAAATTGCGGGGTCTGTGAGTCGTCGAGATGAACCTCAAGAAAGAAGGACTCTTGCATATGAGCTTTGTAATGCTCGATGAATTGTCGATTGAGGCCAGGCTTGATCCACCGCGAGTGTGAATATGACTAGGTAGAGATTGCATACAGACAGAAGCGGAGGCTCGCGCCGGGGAAGTAGACTGGGTTTCGCTAGGGGCAGAGATGGGAGTCGAGCGTGGTCGTGACGCTAGGAATCGGTCAGGCGGGTCTTGGGTCGCACAAAGTCTCTCCCAAAGTGATCCGACCCAGCTTGCCATTCCTTGCGCATGCACAGCCCCATCTCGCAGTGTCAAGTCCACCGATGAAAAAGCTTGTCTGCCCAACGGCTCTTGCCGTCCTCGTGGGGCAGAGGCTGCTCCAGTGCAACCTATAGCCACACCCAGAGAACCTTTGGACCTAGTCTGTGCGCATTCTCGCCTACGTCTGCCGTCAATTCACTCCACCATGCCAAGGTACTTCCGATGGCGCTTCACACCCGAACGCTCGTCGATCCGATGCCAGCTCATTTAGAGCCTCCCTTCTTCTGCTTTCGGGGAGGCGTGACCGGTTTGTTCATGTTGATGCCCCCATATGCGTACTTCTGCTTCTTTTCAGCAGGCTTCAAGATCTGAAGTGTGGTGTGCGAACACCGAAGCAGGTCAGTCACTTGCAACTAAGCGATCCGAGCCCAGAAGCTGTCGCTACTCACTTGGAAAGAGCAAAGCAATGTTTCGTCCACGCTCATCATTGCTCCCGCATTGTCGAACTCCCCGCAGTAATTGGGTGCTGAGAAGAGCGTGACCAGCTGCCTCTTCGCGAAGAATTCATACCCGTCCTCGACGACCTGATGCGCTCTGCAGATGAGATCCATATCGTGTTTCTGCAAGAATCGCGAGACTACGTCTGGCCCGAATGTAAAAGAGACACCGCGATCGTTCTCGCTCCACCCTGAGATGTCCTTGTCCGGATCCGACCACAACAAGTCGCAGAGCAAGCCTGCAGAACGATGACAGAAAGGTACGCAGGCGTCAGTTAGGGACTTGCGCATCAGAGCAGCGGATGCCAACGGTCATGCGCTCTGTTTACACAGAGCTCCAATGACGATCCACTCACCAGTGTCCGGCACGTCTGTGGGTCGCATCACCCTCCTGATTTGTTCCATGCTTTGAAGATCCGGTGACAACCCTCCATGCATTGTGAAGATCTTTTCGTCGATGATGGCGGCGATCGGCAGGCAGTTGAAGCAATCTGTGAACGTCTTCCACAACTTGATGTTGAAGCGCCGTTTGCCTGTTTAAAGACAAAGCATACATTTAGCATTGTGAGACTCCCCCAGATGTTCGAGCCAGCTTTCGTAGAGTCTCGTTGACTAGACCCCGCCCTCTACTCCTACTCGGCACGTCTGCCCGCCTGTTTTGACTCACACTCATCGTAGAAGCCGTAAATGCGATTGATGGACGCGCACTCGTGGTTACCGCGAAGGATGAAGAAGTTTTCGGGGTACTTGATCTTGTACGCCAGCAAAAGGCAGATCGTTTCCAAAGACTGCTTTCCTCTGTCTACGTAGTCGCCCAGGAACAAATAATTTGCTTCGGGAGGGAAGCCACCGTACTCGAATAGTCGCAAAAGGTCGTAGTATTGTCCGTGAATATCGCCTGAAGACGTGAAAGACGAGGATAGCGGTGAGCTGATTGATCGACCAGCCGCTACAAAGCCCTCGCGAGGAGAATACCGGGCTCCGAGCAGCTCGACTCACCGCAGATCTTGATCGGTGCTTCCAGCTCCAGAAGTATCGGTTGTGTAATGAAGATATCCCTGGCTTTCAGGCACAAATACTTGATCTCGTACTCTTCCAACAGCACTGGCTTGCCAGGTCTCGAGCCGCGCACTACTCGGAGGGGGTGCCCGTTTTGCATCGACCTCGTCAGCCAGAATCCTGCTGAGGCCCACTCTTTGGACGCGCCAAGACGTACCTTCCAGCAACCTATCGATGACATTGTCGAGATCGACATTTGGCACTTCGTAGTCACCCATGTTGAACTGTATGCGAGTCGTCTGGAATCATCAGCTGTGCACCTTTTCGTGAAGCCTTGGACAATTACTTCCTGAAAGGCCTGGAAGGGGAGTAGATCGCTTGTGACCGCAACAAAGGTGGCGAACGCGCGCGCAAAACACTCTAGGCTTGACCGGGACGCCTACGAGGATCGCCCAAAGCTGAGCCTCTGGCCTGCCCGGTATCAGGCCCTGGCTGAACAGGTGATGTAGCAAACGACGGCACATGTGGACCGCGGATTGCTCCGCCGTGATCGCCCATGCGACTCGCCCACCAGACGCTGTTCTATTCCGGAAGCGCAACGGCAAGAAGACGCATGCCCGAATCTCTTGTATCGACTTTCTAACACTCACTCTATCCGCGCGATTGAAAGGGTGCCTATGTACGGCTGGCCCGGCTTAAATGCACGGGTCGGCGCCAACGAGGGCGATGTAAGTCGATGGGGTAGTCCGAGTGTATCGCCGCAAAGGTGAAGCGACGAGTCTGACGCGTGTCCTCTCAAAACTTTGCCGGTGCCCCTGTGCAGAAGATGCCGCTGGCCCGTCGCAATGCGAGAAAGCGGTAGCAAGCGAAGCGAGCAAGTTGGGTGTGCGAGCTAGACTTCGAAGATCCAATCGCTTTCTGACTAGTCGATGCTCGATAAGCTTCTCACTGAATCCACTAGACAACTCGACTCTCCCGCCGAGGAAGGCGAGATGATTTTTCGAACGAGACTGGCGCGCTTGAGAGCGCTGTTGGACGAATGCGCAGGGTTTGAGCACGGATGTATCTAACACGAGTGGACGATGGACGAGACGAGGCCGCGAGGTGCGTAGTGCCTCTTGTTGGTGAAGGGAATCGTGAATGCAGGGTAAGTGGTCGTGACGATCACCGATCAGTCAAAAGCTCTAGCAAGACTGGCTTTCGCGTGCTGCTTGCTGGTTTGCGTCAAGCACCGAGCATCGCGCACGCATCATCACCAGCAGCAGCAGCAGCGCAAGGCCTGCCTCGCGCTCCTCGCGCTGCTGCTGCCCTGATTCTCCAGCCAAAAGTTACAGCAGCGCAAGGAACCACGCGCGCTTGGGTTCGGCGCGCCACGGTCGAAGGCCCGGGATGCGCGCGCGCGGGCGGCAGGCGCGCAAGCGGGCGAGCTGCGACAGACATCATGCGCGCGTGAGGGAGGAGGCTGCAGCGCGCGATGATGAGCGTCCACCACGTCAGGCGCGCGCGTCTCCGCGCTTTGCTCGCGTGCAGCAGCGGCGGCGACGGTGCATGCGTGCTGTGCTACGCTGTGCGCTCGCGTGCGTCCATGGCACGCGCTTCTCGCGTTCTGCCTTGATTCGTGCACCGCACTGCGCGCGTTTACACACTCGGTCCAGCTGGGCCTGTGTACGCAGCGTAAGTAAGGACTTTTGACTGCTGCTCGAGCGCCTGGCCGCGCGCGCCTTGGAAAATTCGCTTCGACTGTTCTTGAATTCAAGACTCAAGACTGTTTGAAGTTTAGATATATCTCCAGAAACCTGACATTAAGACAAGCCGCTTATCGCCTAGCTTCAATTCAATCACATTTGGAGGAGAATCAAAGATCGAGTCTTGGAAAGTGCGGGAGCGTTGACTCGTGCAGGGCCGTTACCGCGAGCGGCGACTTCGCAGTAGTCAAGAATTTTCCAATCAGTTTCCGACCACTAAAGGCTGGCTGGCAAAGGCAAGAGAGGGGCAAGGCGAGTCTTCGGTCGACGTGAGCGAGCAGACTTGAACCGGACTTATCGTGCAGTCAGAGTCAAGATTTGAACCTTTTTCATGATGGACTTTTTCGACTGTTATTGTTGGCGATCCGTGGCAACATCACGATCCGTGAAACGACAGCAAGAGATCATTCTTCACAAAGCGTAATTTGTGATTCTGGTGTGGACTGTATCGGATCCAATGCTGCTAAAGCTTCGAACAGCGAGGAATCGGATGCGCCAGCGGCGCATCATCGACAGCACGCCGTGCTGCCATGCTCCAGGTACCGTTCGACGGAGAAGTTGTCTGCGGGATGGTTTCTGCCACAACTTGCTCGGCAATGTTCATAAGCAAGCGCGTGCTGCTACTTGTCGGCGAGCTGGTCAGCCGGACGTCAGGGCAGTCAAGGAGTCGAATAGGTGCTGAAGTCGGCGTCGATGGCGCTGGCCAGCTTCGTCTCGCGCCTGTGCTAGGATCAGAGCACGACAACCGTGAATATCCCAAGCGCTCGAATCACGCATCAATCAGAGTCAGAATCTACGCGTCCTCATGAGCCGCGCATCGGTGAAATTGAATGGGCGTCTCCTCGCCTTGCTTGCTCTTTAGCGGTCGTGAGTATCATACTTGTGGCTCTATGCTGGTCTTTTCGAGAGTCAGACTACGAAGCTGCGGCGAGCAGCGCTCTCGCTGCTTCTCTGGTAAGCCGCGGTCCTGCTAGGCCGTCTTTGGAGCTTGATATGTACGCTCGATTGAGGATCAGATCGGTGATGAGCGCATCTACTTCTTTGACCTTGGACAGGCTGAATGCTGCCTGATCCTCTTTGGTGCCCGAGCGAATTACGCTAGCACCATCACCTCGTTGGAGTAGTTTGCTTGTCGTCTGTGACACCGCACATCAGACATCAGCCTCACTGCGTTCTTGTACGGCATCCGCGACTCGAACAACTCACGGCTTTCAATCCCCACAGAGACCTTAACCAGGGCCCCGTGTTTCGGGTGCCTGGATCGACGCGATCACACATGTCTACCACTCTCAAGAAGCTCGTGTACGCCTTTTCGAGCTCCTGGTTAGTGTATTGAGTCTCGGCTAATTGAAGCACGACAAAGATGTTTTGCGGTTGCAGCAGTTGCAGTTCCTCTAGAGCAAAGATCGCTTGCGGATACCTTGGAGTCGATAGAGCTGAGGTCAGCAACGGAATCAGCAGGCTCAATTACGCCAACATGAAGACACTCACAGCGCAATATTCGCGTACAAACCTGCCAGCTCCTGCCACCCCTCAGCATCTGCGTAGTAGTGATCGAGGAAGGCACGCAGGGCAAGTATAGCATTTGGTACACCTCCACGTGGATCCATGTTAGGGTCGATAGCCTTCATGACAGCGATGCGCCGCTTTGCCATCGTCTAGATAGGTCAAATGCGAGATTGGTGGGTCGGAGGTGGAGAGGACAGCCATGAGAGCTACATTCACTCACCACGTCCGTGGGGTCTTTTGCAAGCTGCGACTGATAGAAGTCCAGCGCTTTTGATGCTTCGCCTCGCGCTTCGAGCAGCATTCCTTGCAAGCTGGCCACCCGACTCGATTCGGGAAACCTCGTATTGAGCCGTGAGACGCAGAGCTTGATTAGGAAGAACGTATAGAGACGTCAGCCGCGACGATCAGCCGTTCGTACTTGGACAGGCACGTCGATGAGCGGCTGATCCGCGGATCTGCCAGAGCATCCCGTCGCATCTGCTCACCTCTGCCACTTCCCAGTTGCCAACGTCTAGCGCGGCGATGGCAATTTGCTCCAGCAGCGACCACAATTCATCCTGGCCAAGCGCGTTCAAGTGCCCTCCCAGCAGGATCAACTCTCCACAAGCAACCACCTCTTGACTTCGCCGATCGGGTCGTCTGATCAGTAGTCAAGTGAATCGGGTATGCTTTGAGCTCTATGATTTCCTCTCGGCACGACACATTCAGCTGGCGGGCTTACCTCCTCTGCTCTGCCAAAAAGTCCAAAGCCTGGGCGACACTGCGCTTTGAAGTGGAGGGTGCCGACATCCTGAGCCCTGCGCGCTGTCAGACGATCTGAGCCGGTAGCATGTGATGGAATATGGTGCTTTTGGAAGGTAAGGTGGATGACGGAGTTGATCGAAGGCCAAGTCCTTGATGCGCGCATGTATGCGGGCATGCAAGAGCTTGAGGCGAGCAGTTGTACCTTCGAGGGCGTGACCGGCCCGTGCGCTCTGTCTCCCTTCACCTTAGGTTTCCACAGACAAACACACGTGACAGTAGAGGGCGGGCGCCGCGCCACGATGCATGCATGCATGCGTTGGTGTGTGCGGTCGCGCGCGGGCCGGCTCTAGAGCTTTCCCTGGCAGCGGCAGGTCCCACCCAGCAGCAGCGGCATTCAGCTGCTCCTGGCCTGCATCGAGAGATTCCAGTCGTGAGTTGTGGATTCGGATCGAAGCAGCTCCCAGCATGCTTGCATCGCCCACACCCACCTCGACGAGCCCACACACACCCACGATTCGTGGTCGCTGCTGCTGACTGTGGCATATGCAACTTTTTTGAGGCACACGGTACTAGAGTAGTCACAGCCTATTCTGCTGGCTCCCAGCTCACCGCTTCTTCACATTGCCGTGCACCTTCGCACGCGCACATTTGAGCGCCAAGGTCATCGTATCCGCTGCAAGGCTCCAACAGAGTCTCCATTTCGGCCATTTAAGACCTGAAAATGGCGGCGCCTCTCAGTGTAGAGGAGGCACTGGCTCCAGTAGAAGCTGTCACTGCGGCCGCTAGCATTGCGAGCGGCTCACGTACCAACGGGTCGTCCATTGCGAGCACATCGGCGACAGCGGACTCTCTGAGCTCAGCAGAAGATGGTTGGCCAGCGGACGAAGATGAGGAAGAGAAGAGCGCGGTGCAGTTGAAAGCTGAGCTCAAAAGGGCGAAGCAGGAGAGGAATGCTTTCGAAGCCCAGTACCAAGGCTTGCTCAGCAAGCTGACAGCCATGCGCAACACGCTGGGTGAACGGCTTCGACAGGATGCTGTAAGTATGCAAGATTTCGAGGCGCACTTCTGAATTCGAAAGCGTGATACGACTACCACACTGACGCACGCTGAACTACACGTGCTCGCTTCATGCAGGAAGAGCTCGATCGGCGAGAGTCGAACATTGAGAGCTTGCAGGCACAATTGACGACGCAGACTGAGCTCGTCGAGACGCTCAAGAACGAGCTCGTAGGATCACATGCAGACGTGGAGCGGCTCCAGAAATCGTTGGATCTATCAAGGAATGCAGCTCCTCCAGATCGGACGCGGGAGCTCGCAGAAAGTGCGGAAAGGCTTCGAATCGAGGCTGAAGGCTGGGAGAGCGCATACACAGAAGAGCGTGGGCTTCGAGAGGAGGCAGAGTCGCGAGCTGCAGAGGCCGAACGGAGGAGAGATGAGGCAGAGAAGAAAGAGATGGAAGAAGCTACACGAGCTGAGAGGGAAGGCGCCACAGCGAGGGAACTTCAGGCGGTTTTGGAGGAGTTTCAGGCAGGTGAGCAGCAGCATCTTACCGGCAACATCTCTTGCGGCGCTGACCTCAACGACTGCTTCAACGTGCGCTTGCTTGCTGGCAGCGCAAGAAAATGAGCTGCAACGCGCTCTAGGAGACTATCAAGAGAAGTACGACACCATCGTGGCTTCTCTCGAGGAGTACAAACAGCGCTCGACCATAGCGGAAGTGAGTGAAGGGGAAGTATCTGCTTCCAAAAAGGCCTGGCTGAGGAGATCGCCTCCCAATTCAGAGCAAGCTTGCGGACTACCGAGACGCCGCGGAGCGGAATGCAATATTAGAGAAAGAGGTCAAAGAAAAGAACCTCTTGGTTGGCAAATTGAGGCACGAGGGTGAGTCATGCGCAAGAGAATCCCGCCTGCTGTCGACTTATTAGTTTACTTTTTGAGTCTCCCCGCAGCCGTGATTTTGAATGAGCATCTCACCGAGGCTTTGAGGAGATTACGGTCGGATACGTCGGATTCAAACGTGGACAGGTGAGAGCGCGAGTCTGTGCGATCGCTCACGATCTATTCTAAAGCCCCGCACTTCGCATCTAGACGGCTTGTCACCAACCTTTTGGTACAGTTCTTGACAACTCCGAGGGCAGATGCAAAGCGCTTCGAAATGCTCTCCTTGATCGCGTCGGTATTGCAATTTACTGACGAGCAGCGCGAATCGACAGGCTTGCAACGCGTTGCTGGTGCTTCGGGCAGCGCGTACAAAGGCATGCCGCCAGGTGTAAGAAGAGGTAGCAGTATCAGCGGCCACACGCGGTCGGAAGCGAGCAGTGGAGGAACGGGAGACGAGGTGAGTTCTACCTGTTTACTTTGCCCACATGCGAACTCTTGAATCTCAGCTCAAACATCCACTTGTGTGACCGCCGATGTCTTAGTCTTTCTCCAATCTCTTTCTGGAATTCTTGCTGTCCGAAGCGGACAAGGCTAAACCGACCCGCGAAGCAAACGGTCAAGCGAGCGAGCCCACGAGCCCCAAGACACCGACGACTGCACCAGCAACGTTCAATCTAGGCAGCTTAGCAGCTTTGAGGCGGCCCTCTACCGACCTTTTCCGCGGCTCTAGCGCCACCAGCAGCGGCACCAGGACCCCGCTCTCTCCATCTTCCAGCACGGCATCGGGTCCCATGTCTCCTCCGCCTTCTTCGTCAACCGTGAAAGGCAAGCCACCATTTGGCTGACCGCTTTCATCGCAATACAATCGATACCTTTAATGGTCCGCAAATCATTGTACTGGGCCCGCGCTTGAGTCTTTGACCCAGATGTGGCCGGGCCTGACGTCGACCACAGACTGACGCTAGAATGAAGCCTCAAGGAGAGACAAATGCATACTAGGTGTTAGGACACAGCGGATGGACAGTGATCTCGCACCTCGGCTAATTCTGAGCGCCTACCAAAGGTTGGATTTTGATGAGTTCAAAAGCTCTCGGACCCATGTCTCACAACTGTTGGGTTCACCGCTATGTGTGATTTGGTCAGATTACGCGCGTAACAAACGTCCTCTTAGGCAACATGCGCGTTGGTGACGTTCGACAACGCAGCCTGCCATTACTGCACGGAGCTGCGCTTGCGCTCGTGCGTGCGTGCGCTCTGCGAATTTGCACTCGGCACAAGAAGCTTGATGCGGGATCGAGAAGGGCGAGGTCGAAGATGCAAAGCTCGGCAGATGGGGAAGGATGGTGCGCGCCACGGTACAGTAGCAGCCCCAATAGCAGCAGCAGCAGCAGCAGCAGTAGTGGTGATAGGTGAGGATCAACATCAAAGTCAGCGCAGCGCGCGGCCCATCCAACGATAAAGGCTGT